GATATCAATTTAAAAATAAGTAGTCAAAAATCCGTTCGCTCAGCACGTATCAGTATTACTAATGTTATTCAAGGTATTTCATACAGTCTTTTTGATATGAGCAAAAAATGCATTTGTCAATGTGATTTCTCTTNAAAAAAAAAAAAAAAAAAAAAAAAAAAAAAAAAAAAAAAAAAAAAAAAAAAAAAACATAAAAGTAAGAAATATATTTGAAGTAAAACTTCTTGTGTTGGATCATAAACAGCCACCTAAGGGGAAACGGATTACGAAAAAACGTAGCCACCCGCCGTGCGGCCCAAGCACTCTCCTCAATCTCCTCTCTTACGCACTCACTCACACTCCATCCCTCTTTCTCGCAGCGCTCACCACTATACTATCTACCACTTCGTCTCCCTCTCTCTCTTTCTTTTTCGTGAACGCCACGTGCTCTCTTTCCCTAACACTGCTAGTATTCCTATATATATACATATATTATAGGTAGGTATGTTTATACGCTACTATCAACCCATTGCGTTTGCTCAAGCTAATGAAGGTGCCATTATTAAGGTACAAAAATACATGTTGCATGGATTCATACAAACAATTTTAATAATTATCAACATAATAAGTCATATCTCAAAGACAAAGCAACACCCACATATTCTACCTGTAAATAGATTTATTTCATATTCTCTATTATGTAATATAAGAATCTTTGTCATGTGACCAAAACCTAAACTCTTATTCTAAATTTTGAGATAAGTAGAAATTAATTGCAAGCATAGGTAAATTTTCATATTGAATGATAGGTAATAATGGAAAATAAAGTAAATAAAAAACTACAACTTTACAATAGAAAAAAGCTATATGTCTCTTGTGTACCTTAATTTTAATTAGATAAAATGGATCATCTTACTTTTATCGTCGCCGAAATTTTAAAATTTGATTAACTTTTATTTGTTTGATACATTCCTTTCAACAAGAATTAATTGTACTTATATGATGTCATGTATATCAAAAGCCCAAATTGTAATCAACTCGTTTCGGGGCAGTATGTTTAAAATTTTTTGTGTGTTCTGCATTACAAGACCAACAATCAGTACATGTATTAATTCATACATCATAGCAAACATGAGAGTACTTAGATTACGCGAATCACGTGTAACATAAGTAGTATGTATAAGTATATATATATATCTATTTTATGCACACGTGTGCTTAAATACGTAATAATAATAAAATTTTTAGTGTATTAATATAAGATTCTTAAAAACCTATTAAAGTTAGTGCATTCTAATTTTCTCAGTTTCTGTTATACTAAGTTTAACAACATTTAAATTGAAAGTTTCACTTCTGCCAGGGGCTCCGAGATCTACACCAGTTTTTAATTTTGTGTAAAGAGCTTTAAAATAAATTGTGTTCTTACATTGGTACGACTTGTATGCTCTGAAGGCTGGGTGATGGAAGAGGCGAAGTCTTAGATCGAAGTACAGAGGTTTTCTGGAATAAATTAAGCTGGCTTTAGTTGCTCAGTTAAGACTTCTTCATGAGTGCTGTTAACGTTGACCTGGCAGTCAAAGTCTGAAGTTAACCTAATGGCTTCAAATGGACCACAATAAGATTTTTTCCAGAGTTTTAGTAACCATTGACAAGAAACATGAGAACAGCTATGGGAATCTTCGAAGAAGAACCGTCAAGGGTTACGACAATATTTTATAGGCACTGGCTTAAAATGTCTTATATGCTCTCAATATTTCTCAATAAATATCAAAAGATTGTCCGTAAAAGTGACCATGGATAAGAAAATTATCAGGAATTGAGAGAGTTGTTCTATAGAGAAACTAAGCAGGAGAAGCTCTAGTATCACTATAAACAGCTCTACAAAGGCTTACTGGGATTAGAGGTAGGAGCTCAACATAGTTGGGACCCTTTTGACATATCAAGGCACTTTAAAACCTGCAATAGTAGCCTTCTGCAAAGCCGTTAGCAGCGAAATGATAGGTTATGGTTCGTTTTCTCTAATAACCAACGAAAGAGAGTAATGATTTAAAGAGGGAGGATTTGATTTGGGAGTCTTAGTCTCTCATTAGGAATCTGGGAGCACTAAAATGAGCCATTCAGTTCTTTTGAAAAGCGCAAAGTACAGTGTTAGCTTAAATGCCCTAAAGTGGAACAGCCTAATATACGTATATAAATAAGAAGTTTAATGTACATAAAACCTATGATTTAAATTTTATTCAGATTGGTTTAGTAGTTTTTGCAAGATGCATCATGCAATTAACAATTCAGAAGAAATTTAAGTAAATGTAACGGCTTTCAATACATCATCACATAAATCTCAATGTTTATATTTAAGCTTTAGAACTAATACCATACACTAGTATCATAAAAAAATTTCTTATCATTTTTCAGTACTGTTTTTGTTTCTTATTCCTTTTTTAATAAATGGCTTATTTGCAAATAGCATAACTTGGTAGATTTAAGTAATAAATTTAATAAGTTTTCATAGGCGTACAGCTTCGCATTACAAATAATCTTAGCGTTTGCGTTCAAGTATCTTTATTATAAACAAAGTTATCAACCTTTAGAGTTTTGCAAGTGTTGGCAACAATTGTTATACGATTTTGCAAAATGGAGAATTCACACGTATTTTTTAATGTCTATTTTATTTGTAGTGCAAATGAGCAATTTGCTAGAGTTATTATATAATGCTAAATAAAACGAGTAAAGTTGATACAAGGACAGTTTTACTGCAGCTGAGATAAGAACTGGTACTCCAAGACAAGAACCTGTTGTTAATGTAAATTTTTTTCTTTCTCATTGGGGTTGCATATTGAGATAAGGATATCTGTTGTGAATAAAGCTAAGAAACTTTTAGCAAGAACAAGTGTTTGATTTAATTAAAAGAAAATTGTCAGATATCATGGGAAAACATTTTTTTTTAAATTATACGTTTTTAAAAACATTTTCACAGATTCCTTGCTAGAATTAATATTAACAAATGGTTATTAATAAACAAAAAAAATCAAAAAGTTTTTGAATGCTCTAAACACTATGGGTGCCAAAGTACAGAGTAAAACTGTAAAGATTCTATGTTGTTATAACTTCCTAGGTACTGAGTTATGCATGAAATACAATGAAGAGAAATCACATTGACAAATGCATTTTTTGCTCATATCAAAAAGACTGTATGAAATACCTTGAATAACATTAGTAATACTGATTCGTGCTTAGCGAACGGATTTTTGACTACTCATTTTTAAATTGATATCAAAAACATACAATACCTTGAATTTTTGCTAAAGCGTTAAAGTACAAGTATGTTTTCTTGTACGCTTACTTCATTTTCCAACTGAAAATTTAAAAATTTAAAACCTTAACACTTTTCGTACGAGCCTCCAATATAAAGGTTTTTGTCAAAATATTTTTATCATCACGGCATTATTAGAAAACTTAGTACTGATACCATTCCTACAAATTTTTCAACAAGACGCTTGTCAGTACAACCCTTACTTATTGTTTCTAAACTTGTTTCAATATCTTGCTTAGGTACAAATAGCTAATACTAAAACTCCTCTGTTTTGGTGACACAGTATGTAACTATCTGTATTTTGCATTCATATTTTTTTAAAATTTTATATAGGTGTATTAAAATCAATTTGATGACAAATTTTAACAGTTTCTTAGATAGCAAAAATTAGGTCAACAGGAAATTGTCTCATACAATTTTAGGACTATTTTGTTTGGTTCACACATGTCAAAATCTTTTTTTTTAACTATAAGTTGCTATAAATAGATTGCATACTTCTTTAGGGTACTTTGTACTTCAGTAGCCTCCTATAACAGTAAGAGAAAAATTGTACACAATTTAATAAATCGATTGAATAAGACAATGAATGGAACAATATGTCTATGTAACATAAGGCATAAAAAACAACTTTTTGGTTTGTCCAGAACTTGCAAGTATCGTGTTATTATTTAACATGCAAATTTGCCAAAATAAGTAAAGTCTGACTTGAGAAAAAATCAGAAAGTTTTTTTTTAACTCAAAAAATTCCCTCTTAGAGCTATTATAAACTGCGATAAAATATCTTAAATGTCTTGTGTCGAGTTGCTATTTGAATTGAATATATCGTTTAAAAGAGACCTTTATTAAAAAAAGTCATGGAAATCAAAAATCTATTAGATATAGTCATAATTAAGTGTATGCGTGTCATATATGTACATGTATGTATTATAACTACGCATACAGACACGTACATAAATAAACATACACTTGCAAACTGGAAACTACATTTTTTACACATTTTGTTCTTTGTGAACTCACAAACTTAATTGTTCGATATCCCGATAAAATGTTTGTACAATTGAACATCAGTTTACATGACTAAGAAGTCTTGCTGTATTGCACGACTATAAAATTATTTAAAGTCTTTTAAAGAAGACATAAAACGTAGTTTTTGTATTTGTTATGCATATAAAAAGTCAATGAATGTTAAGTACCAAAAGTAATCATTACCAAAAATCATGTCAAGTTTACGATTATTCATATGTAACTGCTGATTAAAACATGAATTGACTTTCAAATTTAAAAGATGTGTTATTTTAATCGTTGCACTTAATGTTGATGATAAGTGTTATAATATGAAAATAATTGTATTGCAACTAAGCATATTTACATCATTACTAACGATTTGACAATAAACTATGGGTACATAATCAGTAGTAACTATGATAAAAGAAAAAGTTACGCTTGAGCAATGAATTATTTGTGTAGCACTAATTCTTGTGTAGTTAAAAGAAGAAATAGTATAAAAGTAAGCCTAAAGCTACAGCTGTGTTACGTAAATATATAGAATACTTACTGTTTAACACGACTCTAAACTTAAGTATTCCTGCTTACAGCTGTTTAGCTGTAGAAATAATTATTGAGCATGAGATACATTTCTGCGCATGTCAAACGGTAAAAAGTAAAGAGAACTACTGTAATTCCTGTAGAAGCATTTTATTTTACAAAAAAATTTCAGAACTATCAAAAGTTTTTAGCATTAACATAATGTATTATTGTGGCAGAGTCATGCTTTATTAACCTACAACATTTATCTTGCAGTTAAAGATTCAGCACTTATTTTCGAACAATGTTTACACAGTAATTTGACAGTTATTTGATAACTTTATTTTAAATTACAATATTTCAAGTAAGTCTAATCAATACGTTCGGTCTACTGTGCAGTTGATAAAAAATCAGAATTATTAGCACAGCAAGAAAATTATGTTGAAAAGATCACTTCAGTTTAAAAAAAGGAAGAAAATTATTTTTTTTCTTCTATATCTTTATAATAATGTTATTTACTCTACAAGCTTAAATAAGGTTCCAAACACAGTTTTTAGTGCAAATCCTAAAGACATGGATAATCAATTGAACTTTAGTGTGGAGAAAAAATCTTTAGAAATTATAAGGAGTTCTGCCTTAATGGAATTAAATAACACAAAAGACAACATTACTAAAAATCATAATAAAACTACTAATAATACGTCCATCCCTAAGGACTCTATCTCAAATTTAAAAAAGTTAAAGGAGTATAAACTCTTTATCATTGAGTTTACCAGAGTTGAAACGCCTTTCATCATTGGAATTTGGATACTTTTCGCCAGTGTGGCAAAAATAGGTAATAGTAAAATGAATACTAAAGTTGAACTGCAGTTGAGTTTATGGAGAAAAATTATATGAAAGTGCGTCGATAAAAATTACAAAAAATCTCTTATGTTGCTGTACAGAAAAAATTTTTTGTCACATAATTTTAATAATGATTAATATTTATGTAATTTTTTTTTTAATGATAGGTTTTTATAAGAGATGCTTAATCTTATATGGTTAAAATTCTACAATATACTTTTGAAGAAGGATAACTTATACTTTAATATTAAATGAAGTATCTACTTATCATGCAAATTAAGTAAGTTTCCTCAGACATAAAAGACTGCTTCTTAAAATGAAATAATACTAGGTAATGGACTAATTCTGGAAGACAAACCTTACTTTATTATTTTTGATTTTTCAGTACACTATGATGTTGCTATATTAGTACTGTAGCAAAGCTTAAAGACTGAAATCAGCTACACGAATGTCGTCCAGAATAGTTACCTGACATTTTCTTTTTTTAAACTTGATATGTTTTGATCTTAAAATCTTACAAACAACAAAATCAGTTGCTTCTCCTAAAGACATAAGTTTTTTTTAATAATATCTTGCTCTGAAACTAAAAGAGGAAGGTAGTATTAAAATACTGTCTTTATTTTTATTGAATTGGTCAAATTTTAGAGTAAAGAGAGAAATGACTGCAGATAGCATGAGTCTTGTAAATATTAGTTGTATTTGACTGATACCTAGTGGTTTTAACTTATATCTGGGCGATGGAGTGCTAAAAACTTATTTGATTCCCATTAAACGAATGTAACAACTCTAAGTAAAGTATGTTTAATAACTATCTAAAAACTTAGAGAATTGAATTTGAAAAATAAAACTAGTGAAAAATTTAGGAGAGTCATATTTCTTTTAAGTTTATCAAAGTTTGGGCAGCAAGAATTTATTTTGTTCTTAGTAAGTTCTAGAACTGTTTGAATTATTTTTTTTAACAGTTCCAAGTCCAATCGTAGATGATACACAATTTAAAGTTTGTATTGTTATAGAATAAAATGTCAAAGTAGTTTCTGAAGACTTCATTAGATTTTTCAAGCTAAAAACTAAAAATAAAAACATTCCAATCGCAAATTATTTAAACAACTAATAAATACTAACCAGTTTTAAAAATTATAATATTTCAGATCGAAGACTAGTAATAAGATATAACAAGTAATATTATTTTAAGTAATTAGTTTTTTTCTATATTAAATGACATAGTAGTAATTAACGATAAAAGCTCTTTCCATTTTTTTTTGTTTTTATATTAACAAGTATCATCTTGTATTTGACTTATTAAAGAAAAACTAATAGTTATTAATAATATTTAAGAACAGATCCATTTTATTGTACAATGTCGGATATCAAATATGAAAAAAACTTCGTAGGTACACGTTGTATCAATCGATGTCGAAAACAAAAAATAGTAATAACAAACAATAAGTTTGAGTAAGTTAAGGTATCAATAGTAACTTGTAACAGATAATTGTAAATAAAAAATTTTATTAGTGGTTCCATACCTGAACTTCGTAAGCTGTTATTTTTTTTTCAATTTTTCAGTAATTGTGCAAAATATTCATAATTCATGATTAAACAAAACTATTCACGCCTAAGATTCATGTGGTATTTATTAGTTGGCTATTGATACAATAGTGAAGTTTTGCTTACAACATCGTTCTATGAAAACAAGCCTGCTCTTAATCGTATAAAATAGATAAAGCCAATTCCAGATAGTCAATTTACAGAAAGCTAATGATTTTTTAACAGCACTGACGGTTATCTAAAAGTAGTAGCAGTTTTTTTTTTTTTTTTTTTTTCTATTGAAGCAGGGAAAATGCCATGATTCACATTGCTGGAGCATCAGTAGTGTGGGACTCAATGAATTTTTTTTTAAAGACTACTAATATTCACTCACCCCTCCCCCTACTATGTGGCTGAAGTTCCACTCCAAAACCACGTTAGCATTACTTCAGGGTGAAGTCACCAGGGATATCATCGTATCTTACAGCATTAGTGAGCAAGCTTACCACCAGCTGCTTAAATTACCAATCCTCTTGAGTCCTTAAAACGACTTGGGGTCTTTGAGGACCAGCAAGCATCTTAGCGCTTTCTTGTAGGCTGCAATCTTTGCAAGCACCACTAAGCTCTTGATACTTTCTCTTGCTGATAAATAAGTGCACTTAACACAGCGTGGGTCTCCATCATACTATTTTTTCATTCTGAAACCTTACCACCTTACTTGCACTCTACGTTGGCCTTTTTTCTGGTCTCTTCCAACGCTTCTCTAAATATAAGGCCATCTTTTTCTTTGAAATCATGGAATACATGTCCATGCCCCAGAAACTTACAGCCCCTTGTAACCACAAGTTTTTTTCTAACACAGCAAGAGACGAATCCAACTTTAACCTGGTCTGCGTGTTCCACTTCCTTAGCGACTGTTTCGTCAAGAGTTAATCAAGGGTTTCGTCTAGGGATTTCTGCTGATACAAAGTGTTTAACAGCAGCTTTGAAGCCATCCTTCATAACCTTGGCCGTACTATAATACTTCTCGTTAATGGCCTTCTCAATCTTTTTTATTGCTAATTAATTTTGCAGAATCTCTTTATTTTGTTTCAGGCTCAGTTCTGCACAATCTCTTTACAGGGAGGCAAGCTTCTCTTGCGTCTGGTTGCTAAATACACTGCAATCACTTTCGTGGCTTACGTTGCTACCTAAGCTTAAATGGCTAGGTGTCCTAGCTTTATCCAACGATGATCATCTAAGGTCTAGCAAATCCTGTCGACCGCCTAAATTATCTTTGTGGCTGCCCTCAAAATCCATGGACCCTTTGACAGTAATCCAGGCTTTCATCGTATCGGTACCACCAGTAGATCTCCTTTAGAGATTACTACCTGGATTATTTGTTTTACATTAACGTTCTTTATGGTGGTATCTTCTATGTTGCGTACTGACCAGTAAAGGCCAGCACTACTCTGTTTAAAGTGAAGCTTTTTATATAGGGCTCTTGCCAGACGAAAGTAAGAGATAAAAACACATATTTTTTTGCCCCTTCATTCCTGTTCGTTCCCTCACCACAACATGCTCTCTCTCTCTTTCTTTATTGTAAATTGTATATGCTTTTGATAAGACAGCCAATATCATCGTTCTTAATTATAAGAAGATGATAATACGTGATGCATATAAAACATTTGAAAGAATCATTATAAATTGAATAACGTCACTGAACGGGTTTAAAAATTGATAAATATAATTGGAACCATGAAAGTCTAAAATCAAACAAGTAAAGTAAAAATATGCAAGAAAAAACAGGAAAAAATTTGTATGTCACTATGTGACGTGTCACATATATACGTGTCACATATATACGTGGTATACTTAACGGTTTGAAAATTTAAAAGTAAATTTAAACGAGGAATTTCGTTTTAACTTTCGAAAACTTTCAGTTAAGTAAAACGTTGGTAAAATCTATACTTAATACTTCTTTTAACAAAATATTGAAAACTAATTCACTAACAACTATTAATGTATACAGACGAAGATTCTGCAATGCATAAAAAAAACTACAGTAAGATTACTATGGTTGTAAGTAAAGATTTTAGTGTTAACTTTTCTTCCAAAGCTACTGTGCTGTTAGTTTAGTTTAAAAAAAAAAAAAAACTTTAATATAATTATTAACCGATTGCAATGGACCACTAAATATAAAATGACTAGCAGCCCCCCATCTCGGCTTCGCCCGAGACTTACTAAATAAAACACCATGGTGTGTTGACATGTAATGTGAAACATTTTCAGTTAGGAATTTTGCACATATTCCTGACACATCTCAGAACAAAAATCTTATTAAAAAAATATTTTTTCGGAATGCATATAGTTTATTTGGTCAAATNAATAAAATAATCAGTGGCCATAAGAAGCCGTTAAGTTACAAATTCTCCCGTGTAATTCACGAAAATATCTATTTTTTAAAGCTGTTAAGATTTTAAAACTCCCAAAAAATTTGTATTAACAAAAAATTTTTTTTCTCATATCTTACAACTTTATTACCAGAGCAACAAAGTCCTGGACCTTAAACCCTACATTTTTATTGCCACAAAAACACAAATATATTTTCTACTCATTAAAAAAACTGAAGTAGGATCTTTAAAGATTTCAGAGATTGCTGTGAGGGTACAATGAAAAGCTGATCTCTAACGTAATGGACTCTTTAGTTGTCGATTTTGACGCTGCTGTTTCAATTTCGATAAATTTTCTGCGTCAGTTTCTTGACGCCTCAAATTTTATTCATTAGATACATTTGAAGTTTTTTTTCCAATATACCCTTTTGCGACTATTAGCATGCTTACGACCTTTATGACCCCTAAAGGCTATTTTCAGTCAACTTTGTTAATTTTAATATATTTAATGGCTAGGTAGTTCGACGTCCGATGGCCCCTAAAAAAGACCGGTGAGCTTGTTAAGTTAACTCTTTCAGTCTTCAGTTAACAGCACTTGCGACTGCCTGGATACCTCAGGGTGATCTTCTCTGGCTTGCTGTTGAAGACCCAGACTGATTGGGAGAAAAATTACAAAATCCGAAGCTTGGGGGCTAGTTGTAGTGCTCTTTCCCAACGTCTCCCAGTATAACGTCGAAGACGTTTGTGTCTAAGCACCTCTTTTATTTGCAGATTCAGTTCATTTTGGTGATTTTAGATGGGGAGATTAGTTAGTGATACTTGTCCAGTGGAGGCTGTCCCGTTGGCTCAAGTTTTTTTTCCTTCATAGCTGTTATAGGTTTGCCCAACGCAGACCTTGGAGAGGATCAGTGTATTCTGGTTGAATGCTTAGAGTCGAGAGAGTAGGATCGGGTCGTCGGTCACCGGGTTTTCCAGCCTTGCGAAGAACAACTCCGCAGGTGACGTCTGCTAGTGAATGGCTGACTTGGTTTAATAGTGCCCGTCTTTGTTAATATACTCTTTTAGTCGACGAATCGCTTCCGGAAATGGTAATAAA